GAAGGAGCTCCAGGCTGCAGGAAAGAGCCCGGAGGACCTGGAGAAGCTCCTGCCACACAAGGTCAGCCTTGCTCGTGAACTTCAGCTTTACGGTGACGTGTAGGAGCTAGAGGGATGACCCTGACGGGGTCAGGGTAGGGGCTCATGGTATGACTTGCTTGTCCCACACAGTAGGAGGGTCTGTTTCTCTGGATTTAAGTGTCCCAGCCTCTGGGTAGCGTACCTTTCTTCTCTAAAAGCTTCCCCTACCCCCCTACCCCCAGACACAATGTATGTTGGCAATATTCTTTCTCTTCCTGCAACTCCCAGATTCACCTACCCACTCAACTTCATATTCTCTTTCTGTCTGTCTGTCTGTCTGTCTGTCTGTCTGTCTCTCTCTCTCTCTCTCTCTCTCTCTCTTTCTCTGTTTTTTTAAGACAAGTTTCTCTGTTTAGTTCTTGTTGTCCTGGAACTCATTTTGTAGACCAGGCTGGCCTCGAACTCAGAGATCAGCCTGCTTCTGCCTCCCGAGTTCTGGGATTAAACACATGTGCTTAAAAGAAAGAAAAAAGCCGGGTGGTGGCGCACGCCTTTAATCCCAGCACTCGGGAGGCAGAGGCAGGCGGATCTCTGTGAGTTTGAGGTCAGCCTGGTCTACAGAGCGAGATCCAGGACAGGCTCCAAAACTACACAGAGAAACCCTGTCTCGAAAAAACCAAAAGAAGGAAGGAAGGAAGAAGAAAGAAGAAAGGCCAAAAATAAAGCATAAGAAGCAAATGAGCAGGAAGCCCCGGAGCCCGTTCTGATTGGCCAGCTCTGGTGTGCGTCCTGCCCTGGAGTGTAGTTCACAGACCTGGTGTCGCCCTGCTGAAGAGAACTGCTCTCTCCCCAATCCCCGCAGCCAGTATTTGCCAATAGCGTTTTGATGAGAGGTGGGACTTGGTGTCTACTCCTCCTCCGCCATGGGATTTTATCAGATTTGGACTTGTGCATCATGTTGTCACAGTCTATGTGAGTTGCTTTGTTTTCTTTTCTTTTTTTTTGGAGACAGGGTTTCTCTCTGTAGTTCTGGCTGTCCTGAAACTCACCCTGTAGACCAGGGACCAGGTTGTCCTCGAACTCAGAGATCGACTGGCCTCTGCCTCCCGAGTGCTGGGATTAAAGGCATGCGCCACCAACACCCAGCTTAGTCTATGAGTTTCTAAGTGCATCAGCCCTGTTGTGTCTGGAAGATACTGTTTCCCTGAAGTCATCCACCACCTTGGCTCTTAGAGTCTTTCCAACTCCTCTTCTGTGGAGATCCCTGAGCCTTGGGGATGGTTGTGTAGAGACACCCTATTTAGGACTGAGTGCTCTGGAAATCTCTCACTCTGCACCTCATGGAGGACGTTTCTTGTTTCCTGCAGGTCTTTGAAGGAAATCGCCCAACCAACTCTATTGTGTTCACCAAGCTCACACCATTCATTCTGGGAGCCTTGATTGGTGAGTGGGGAAGAGGAAGGGATGGCCAGGCTTGGGATCAGTTGGATGGGATGGGAGGGAGGAAGGGAGGGAAAGGAAAGGGAGGAAGGCAGACTGGCCGGCCTGATGGATACCATCTGTTCCTTCCTCTACAGCCATGTATGAACACAAGATCTTCGTTCAGGGCATCATCTGGGACATCAACAGCTTCGACCAATGGGGGTGAGTTGCTGAGGAAGGTCTGGTGTGCCTTCCCGCTGGCTCTGGAACCCGGCTCACTCTCCTCTTCCACCCCTCCCTGGCAGAGTGGAGCTAGGGAAGCAGCTGGCCAAGAAGATCGAGCCCGAGCTGGAGGGCAGCTCCGCCGTGACCTCCCACGATTCCTCCACTAACGGCCTCATCAGCTTCATCAAGCAGCAGCGGGACATCAAAATAGAATAAACTCGGCCGCAGCCCTCTTGACTGGTCCTTGTCCCTCTCCATCCTGTGCGCTGCATGGTCCTGCCCCTCCCTGCCCACAGCACTCCTCCGGTCGTGGGCTCCGACTTGAAATCTTTGGGGAGAATTGCCATGGGATTGCCGTCCACCCACTCTGCACCCTCCCTGTAGAATCGGGCTGAAGTGCTTTGATAAATCTGATCGTTCTGACCAATATTCACATCCCAGCTAGAATAAAGATGCCGTAGAGGAGGCATGGACTCAGCCTCTTAGTTTCCTGAGGTGGGGCTTTATCTATCAGCTGTGGGTGACCCTGCTGTGCCCTGGTTGGCGATTGACTCAGTGGTGAGCAGGTCTGCAGTGGAGGGTTGTTCTGTGGGACAGGGCTCAGTCAGGAGGGCGCCTTGGTGTCCAGTCTTGACCTCACCTTCCACTCCTCACCTTGAAGACATGGAAAAACTTTCTGCTCACTGGCTAGGTTTTTGTCTGCTTATTGTTTTGGTGTCAAAACCTAGGGATGAACTTTTTAAATTATATTATCCATTTATTTAGTGTGTGGGTGTGTGCGCATGTGTGTCAGAGGACAGCTTCTGGAAGTTCTCGACTTCTGTCTTGTCAGTTCTGGGGATCGAACTCAGGTTGTGAGGCTAGATGCAAGTACCTTTATTCACCGAACCATCTCACCAGATCCAACTCTTTTTTTAAAATGTGTGTGTTTGTGTCTTTTTTTTGTTTTGTTTTGTTTTTTCGAGACAGGGTTTCTCTGTGTAGCTTTGCGCCTTTTCTGGAACTCGCTTTGGAGACCAGGCTGGCCTCGAACTCACAGAGATCCCCCTGGCTCTGCCTCCTGAGTGCTGGGATTAAAGGCATGCGCCACCACCGCCCGTCATGTTTGTGTCTTTGTGAGTACATGTGAGTGCTGGTGCTGATGGAGGCCGGGACAGAGAGGGCATCGGACTCCCCTGGAAATGCAGTTACAGGTGGTTGGTTGTGAGCCACCCAGATGGGGTGCTGAGAACAGAACTCAGGCCTCTGCAAGAACAGCAAGTGCTCTTGACTGCTCAGCCATCTCTTAAAGCCCTCAGAAGACAGTTTTAGCTGGGCATCGTGACTGTCACCTTAGACATCCACGCCCGTCCTGGCCGTCGTCTGCGGTGTGAATTGAGTGACAGTTGGATAGCTCTACTCTCCTCCTTGTTCATTGTGGGCCACTGAACAAGAACACTTGGCACACAAGCCTGGTCACCCGAATTCAGTCCATGGAACCCATATAAAGGTGGAAGGAGTGAACCGACCCCAGAGTTGTCCTCTGACCCCTCCATGTGCTGGCATGCACCTGCCCTCCATCCCCCACACACACCCAATAATGAAATGTAAATGGTACCACAACTTATTTGAAGCTAGCCTGAGCAGAGAAGCAAATTCCAGGTTTGTCTGGCTACACAGTGGAAACCTGTCTCCAAAAAAAAAGGGGTGATAGGTAGCGGGGTCTCAGATGTAGCTCAGTGGCAGAGCATGCTCACAGCTTGGGTTCAGTCTCTGTCATGTGCACACACAGGCATGACTTGAATAAGGAAAGCAGATATTGGAGGTTCAGGGGAGGCCAGCCACTGCTGGAGGATGTCTTGTAAAGGTCAGGTGTTAAAGGATTGTCTCCAGTAGGTGGTGCTATTGGAAAGTGGTAGAAGAGATTTTGCTGCTAACTTCTTCTCTGCGTCCTGGCTGCCACCTTTTTTGGAGATGAGCCGTCTTCTCTGACATTCTCACACTACCATCCTGTTCTCAAAGCAGTGAACCCTAGATGTGCTGTTTGGCTTATATTTTCGGATCACAATCCATCATGGAGGGAAATCCTAGTAGGAACCATAGAGGAACTGCTTGCTGGCTTGCTCCATCCCACAATGGGCTGGGCCCTCCTGCATCAGTTAGTAACCAAGACAGTCACAGATAGCACCAAACACCCTGATCGATGCAGGACTGATGCTTCTCTCAGATGGCTCTACACTATGCTAAATTAACAAGGCTGACTGACATACCACGGCATGAAAACCATAACCCAAAATAAATCTTCGTTAAGTTGGTTTTTCACAGTAGTGAAAAATAAACACTGGGCTGGCCAGAACCAGAATTTTGTCTGTCTGTTATATGGATTTTAAAATACCCTTGAGACTGGAGAGGTGGCTCAGTGGTTGAGTGCGTACTGCTCCTGCAGACACAGGGTCGAATACTTTGAGGCACTCACATGCACAGACATAGCTACACATTCACACAATTAAAAATGACATATTCCAAAGCCGGGCGGTGGTGGCGCACGCCTTTAATCCCAGCACTCGGGAGGCAGAGCCAGGCGGATCTCTGTGAGTTCGAGGCCAGCCTGGGCTACCAAGTGAGTTCCAGGAGAGGCGCAAAGCTACACAGAGAAACCCTGTCTCGAAACCCCCCCCCCAAAAAAAATGACATATTCCTAAATTCAGCACACACACACACACACAAACACACTACCCCTTGGAAAATACCAGCTGAGATAAAACAGCTACCAAGTTTGCAGATTGAACCTGAAGGGACCATCACAGTCAGACTCCAGAGAGCCTTAGTCTGCCATGTTAGTGTGATAAACCAGGACTAACCAGAGGAATGAGCTGGTTTCATCCAGTCTCTGGACAGGGCTGAGGCCAATCCTGTGAAGGCTGGTGGTGCGCCCACCATTCGGGTGCAGGATCTTTGAATACCACTTTCCCAGCATTGTAGAAATCTTTAACTCCTGTGTATTTCCAGCCTGCTGTACCTGCTTCTGTATGTGTGTGGAGGGTATGCATGGGATTACCTCAGGTGTCATTCCTCTGGTGCCATCGATCCTTACATTAAGACAGTCTCACTAGCTGGTCATTGGACCTCAGGAATCCACCTATATCTAACCCAGATACTAGGATTATAAACGACCACTAGCCGATCTTTTGTTTTTACATTGTTTCTGGGGACTTGTGCTGACACACACTACTTACTGAGCTACCTCTCCAGTCTCACTTCCAGGTTTTTTTGTTTTTTTTTTGAGATAGTCGCAAACCATGACCAAAGCTGCCCTGAGTTTCACTGGGAAGCCCCAGAATTGCTGGGATTACCAGTGTGAGCCACCCTTGCCTGGCAATGCATGTTTTCCAAATGTGTTTATTGATGTGTCATTTAATATAACAAAGCTCTTCATTAATTTTTTTTTTCACGTACACCATGTGTTCTGGTACCCACGGAGGCCGGAAAAGCATAGGATCCCCTTCAACTGGAGTTGCAAGCAGCTGTGAGCTGCTCCCTATTACATGCTGGAAATCTTCACCTCAGTCTTCCATACCCATTTTTAAGCATGTCTTTCAAAATTAAGGACTTTTTGTTCTGTTTCTTGCTGACTGGCGATACCATTATCCCGCCTCCAGTTTTTAATTTCCAGGTAAACTTTTTTCTTAGGTCCTATCTGAGGCTATCAGAAGTAAAACCTGCGATCTCTGGGATTGCAAGCCCAGGTCTCAACGCAACAGTCCGTTAGGCAGTGGGATCCGCCCCTTAGCCAATCCGCAGGCCCCATCTGGCTCGGGGCGGGGCCGTCCTGGCGGGACGGCGGCGCGCGTGCGCAAAGAGCGCGCCCTTGGAGCCACCGTATCTCGCGCTGTCACGTGGGAGTCCGGTTGTCATGGCGGCTGTCCGGAAGCCGGTGCTGCTGGGACTTCGAGACGCGGCGGTCCAGGGCTGCCCCAAGGGGCCCGCCGCCTGGACCGCTAGCAAGCTGGGCGGCGTCCCGGTGAGCGAGGCCGCGAAGCCTTGGCGGGGCCCGTGGGGAGCGCGTCCCGCCTGGGGAGGGTGTCCCGCGTGGGGAGCGGAGTTGCGTCCCCGGGACTGAGGACCTGCTCCGCCCTCAGGACGCCCTACCGGCCGTTACGGCTCCGGGGCCGCGGTGTGGCGGCTGCGCGGAGCCGCTCGCGCTGGTCGTGCAGGTGTACTGCCCGCTGGAAGGCTCCCCGTTCCACCGGCTTCTGCACGTGTTCGCCTGTGCCCGCCCGGGCTGCGGCGGCGGCGGCAGCGGGACGCGCAGGTAGGCAGGGAAGTCCTGTAGCCTAGTAGTGTGGCTCGTCCGGGAGAGGGCGGGTTGGGTCGGATGAGACTGGGTGGGGCGGGACGTCGGGGGTGGAGCCCTCACGACATCTGTCTCGCCCCTAAGCTGGAAGGTGTTCCGCTCCCAGTGCCTGCAAGTGCCAGAGAAAGAGACTCTGAACGCCCAGGTAAAGCGACTCTGATCCGCACACTGTGTGTTTCTATAATTGGCATCTCGTTTAAGACAACCTTTGTTGCTCTGTTTTGAGACACAATCTAACCTCTGTAGCCCAAGCTGGTGTTCACTGCCAGAAACTGGTTGGCCTAAATCCCTCCCTATTTCTGTGGTTACCGTTATATAGCACCACCCCCTATTTAAGACAGTTTTCTAAAAGATTTATTTTGGAGGCTGGAGAGATGGTTCAACTGCCAAGATCACTTGTTGCTCTTCCAGAGGACCCAGGATCCATTTTCAGTACTCAGGCGGCTGTGTGAAATCATGTGTAACTCCGGTTTCAGGGGTTCCAATGTCTTCTAGCCTCAGTGGCACCAGGCGCACGCACACACACACACACACACACACACACACACACACACACACATACATTGCAGGCAAAACACCCATACACGTAAAATACATTTAAAAAAAATTCTGGCCAGGCGGTGGTGGCGCAAGCCTTTAATCCCAGCACTCAGGAGGCAGAGGCAGGCAGATCTCTGTGAGTTTGAGGCCAGCCTGGGCTACAGAGTAAGTTCCAGGACAGGCACAAAGCTACACAGAGAAACCCTGTCTCGAAAAACCAAAAAAAAAAAAATTCTGTTTAGTCAAGCGGTGGTGGCGAACGCCTTTAATCTTACCACTTAGGAGGCAGAGGCAGGTGAATCTCTGAGTTTGAGGCCAGTCTGGTCTATCGAGTGAGTTCTAGGGCAGCCAAGGCAATTCAGAAATCATGTCTTCAAAAACAAAAACAAAACAAAAATAATTTGTTTATTTTTGTGTGTGTCTACCTGTGAAGTCCAGAAGAGGGTGTCAGATCCAGAGTCACAGGCATTTGAGAGCTACCTAATATAGGTGTTGTGCTGAGCCATCTCTCCAGGACCCCAAGACAAAACTTTTAAACCTGTTTTTTAAAGTGCAATTGAGTGAATTGTAGTCTTTCAGAATCGTCAAATCCTATTTTCTTACAGTTTTGTGACTTTTTTTAAAGACTTTATTTTCAATTACACATATATGTGTGTGGATATGTGCATGCCAGTGCAAATCTGTGGAGACAGTTGATCTCCTGTACTACCTGATGTGGGTGCTGGGAACTGAACCCAGGCCTTCTGGAAGAGCAGCCAGTGCTCTTAACTGCCAAGTCATCTCTCCAGGCCTTGTGACTTTTTTAGTTTACACTTGAGATACATAGTTTACTAATTTTTCCCATTTGAATGAATGTAGGCAAGTGTACATATTCATGCATGTGTGTGGCACATACATGGTTGTGTGTGAAGTAGAAAAATACCAAGACGTGTGTAAGCTTTTACTCGCTAAATTGATAGCCCAGGGAGAAGTCCTGCAGTGACTTCTAGAAGCACATCTCAGAACTGGCCCATCTGCTAGGCTACCTCCTCAGGACATAGGTGAATGGATGCTGCCCTTGTCACGGATCCTGGCATGCTGTCTTTGCTCTACCTGTATTTTCAGAACAACTCATTTTGGGTTTCTCTCTCTCTCTCTCTCTCTCTCTCTCTCTCTCTCTCTCTCTCTGGTTTGTTTGGAGACAGGGTCTGGATCCATACCTCAGGCGAGCCTAGAAATCTGTGTCACCCAGGCTGACATCAAACTCATGACCATCATCCTGCCTTAACCTCCTCAGTGCTGATATGAGCCACCATGTCCAGCCTGCTTCATGGCATTGCTCTTTTTTCAAGGTTATGGCTCTCTTTTATGTGTACCTGACTAGCTAATCCCTGAATACATCTAATCTAAAATCTTAGCTGCTAAGGAGTCTGGGAAATGTAGTTTAAAGCGATTTTTTTGGCCATTTATTATAAATTAAAACTCAGGGACAAATATTAAAGATAAAAACCTAAGATAATCATAAGTAATCACAAAAACACATTGCTGCCGGTCGCTTCCTGTCCCCAAAAGGCCCACGAAACCTTCTGACCTCGGCTCCTCTTCCCAGGGTCCTCTCTTTCTTGTGCCCATCAGTAAACTCTATGATCTATTGTGACTAGCTGAATGTGAACCCCCCTCTTGAACCAATGCTGTATTCCAGTGACCATCAGAGCACAACACAGACAAAATTCCTGTTAGTAGTTCTTCCTGCTTTAGCCCCTACACTCCCTGAAGCACAAGTGAAAGGCTGTGGGGCAGACTGACTGAAGAAACCTTGACCTGTGTGTACCACATTGCCCAGAAAGAGAAGACAGTTTTTAAGTCCCTCTTACATGTTTGGGTTGTTGTTTGTTTGTTTTTGCATTTATTTACTTAATTTTATGTGGATCAATATTTGTCTGCATGAATATACGTGCCCCACATGCACAGCTGGTGCCTTTGAGGGTAGAAAGTGGCATTTTATTCCCTGGGACTGGAATTAGAGATGGTTGTGAGCCACCCAAACCTGGGTCCTCTGAAAAAGCAACAAATGCTGTAACCACTAAGCCAGCTCTGCTGCTCCAATTTTGTTGTTTGTCTGTTTGTTTTGAGACAGGGTCTCTGGAGCTCAGAGCTCTATCTGCTTCTGCTTCAAGAGTGCTTGGATTAAATGGATACAGCCCCATACCCAGTTAGACTAGAATCCAGGAAGTTGAATTGTAGTGTGCCAGGGGAAGGGGCTGATATGCAGGCTCCCTGGAAGGTACAGGGATGGGTGGTGAGGCTGAAGGGGTAGATGAAGTCGTCTTGGTGTGATTGGCCTGTGTTGATTGGCTGTTCTTCTAGAAACAGGGTAATGGCCTTGCAGCTGAGAACTGGTGTGAAGGCTCACAGGACTGGGGCAGTGACAGTGAGGAGACACCTCCACCGCCACCCACCTCAGATTTGGGAAATGATTCTAATGGTGTCAGAGCTGTAGACTGGACTGCACAGCTCCAGGCTCTCTGCCTGCAGGACAGTGCCCCAGCTGTTGCTCACCCTGTCCCTTCAGGGGAAGGGCTGGCGGTCCATGCTGAAGTGCCACAGTTCCAGCCCTACTATATCTGTGTCGCCGAGGAGGAGGATTACGGGAACTCCGTGGATCTTGAGCATGCCCGCAGCCTTCTTCAGGACTACCAGCAGAGAGAAGGTGTTGACATGGAGCACCTGCTTTCCCTCTGGTGAGAACTTGCTACCAGGGTTGAGAGAGTCAGGCAAGAAGCTGCCACAGTGGGTTCCCTTTTGTCTTGGTACCTATGGTGAGTTCTAGAGAGAAGGGATGTGACTGGGCTCTTTTGTTTTGCTCTCCTTGGATGAGAAAAGTAGAATCAGGCCAGGGCTATCTGTATCAACCAACCTGCATTAACTTTTTTTTTTTTTTTAATTTCATAATTAACTCAATTTCACACATCAGCCACGGATTCCCCCGTCCTCCCTCCTCCCACCCCCCAATGCATTAACTTTCAGACTTGTAGCTGAGTACCCTCAGGAACTGAACCCAGATGAGCACACAGGAGTTGGTGGTACTGGCTGCTTCCTTTTTTGTTCTATGGTGTGTTCATTTGTTTCTGTTTTGATTGAACGAAGGGCTGCACCATGTTAAATGAGTATTTTTACCAATGAGCTGTGCCCGCAGCCCCAGTCTCTTCATTTTTTCACAGTTGTTTTTACATAGTTTGTGTACATGCACACATGGAGTGCACGTGTGAAGGTCAGAGACGTAGAGGAGAATCTGCTATCTTCCACCAGCACGTGGGTTCTGGGGGAGGGAGCGAGCTCCTTAACCCACTGAGACATCTCTTGGACCCTGTTTTGATTTTTTTGTTGTTTTAATTTTGAGACAGAGTCTCATGTAGATCAGGTTGGCCTTAAACTCTCTTTGTAGTCAAGGATGACCTTGAATTTCCTGATCCTTCTGCCTCTACTTTGAGTGCTGAGATCAGGTTTTATGCAGTGTTGGAGACTGAACCCAGGCTTTCCTGGTGGTAGGCAGGCGCTCTACCAGCTGAGCTACATCCACAGCCCTCTTTTCTGATTTTATTTTTTAAAATTCCTGACAAGGAATTTGTGTGTGCACCTGTGTTTATGAGTGCAGGTGTGCACATGCTGCCACAGTCCGTGTGTGAAATTCAGAGGACATTTGTTCCTCTTCTCTTTTTTTAGCATATGGGTTCTGGGGGTGGAACTCAGGTCTTTGTAATTGACAGCAAGCGCCATCTTGCTGGCCTTCTGTTTTCATGGGTCTTTTTTTGTTCTTTGTTTTTCGAGACAGGGTTTCTCTGTGTGTTTCTGACTGTCCAGGAGCTTGCACTGTAGACCAGGCTGGCCTTGAACTCACAGAGATCCACCTGCCTCTGCCTCCAAAGTGCTGGGATTAAAGGCATGTGTCACCACCACCACCCGGCCTTCATGTGTCTTTATAGCAGAGGATGATGAGTTGGAAGAAACGCCCCTTGTGTAATGATTCTGCTGTGATTCCAGAACTGCCTCAGGTTCTGAGGCCATTTTAGGTTCTCAGTTCTCATTTATGAAATAGGAAGGGTAGCAGAGTTTCCGTTCCTTTATCACATACTTTGGTGGGTCCTGAGAGAGTAGATCTAGACAGACCATGAACCAAAGCACTAAAGAAGGACGAACTGACCCTTGCAAGTTGGCCTCTGACCTCTATAGGTGCTATGGCAGATGTGCACCGACCCCCGCCACACGTGGTAATTAACAAAATATAGAAAGAAAGCCGTCTTGCTTTCTCTTGCGAATGCTCTGGTTCTCCAGACATTCATGGTTTCACGTGGTCTCTGCTTCTCTCTTTAGTTCTTACAGTGATGGGGATGAGAAATATGAGAAGACCAATATTAAAAGTGGAGACCAAACGTTTTACAAGTTCATGAAGAGAATTGCAGCCTGTCAGGAGCAGATTTTGAGGTAAAAAAAAAAACATGTTTTGTTTCTGTTTTACCGTAGAGGTAGCACGCCAACGAGCACCTACAGTCCCAGGGACTCCTCAGGGTAAAGTGGGAAGGTCACCTGGCCAGCCTCAGCAACAGTGAGGCACTTTTTTTTTTCATACTATGTCCATGTTTATTGAGAGAGGTCTCAAAGTAACTGAGAAAGGCACCCAGTGTTCATCTCTGGTCTCCACATATATGGGCATATGCACAAAGAAATAGCTTTCTTTCTTCTATTAGAAGTGTTATATTTAGGAGCCTTCCACCAGGTACTTGTTTCTGAGAATATCTGCAGTCAGTTTCCTGGATTGCTGGGCTAAAGGATATTAAACTTTTTGTAGATATTGGCAAATTTGCCCTTAAAAACATAGTACCAGCTTGCATTCTCACTAGGAATGTAAAGTATTATCTTCTGGTGAATATGCAAATTTCATTTTGTGGACAGAGTTAGGGACTCTGCTCTTTACTAGCTAATCATCCGTTCTTCAGTCACTTTTCCATTCCCCAATTTCACTGTATGGAAACAATTGCAGCATCTGGGGTTATTGAGAGGCTCTTCCATGGACGCTGCACTCTACTAAGGTAAACAGCAGTGTACAGACGGTGTGCGTGTCCTGTGGTGTGTGAAGAGACAAATGGTGGGGCCGATTGCAGTAGTTTCTTGCTCTTTCATAGTAACAGCAGAGCAAGCCTCTCAAGAGAAGATAGGAAAATAGAGAGTCCACTGTGAAGTTCCTAGTAGAGGGCCAGCAAGTGCAGAGCCCTGGGGAGGGAACAAGGGAGTAGGATGTTTGCCAGAGCAGCTCAAGTGGAGTGCGTGAGGGAGGCACTCAATTTTAAAATGTATTTTTACTATTTTTAATTATGTGTGTGTGTTTGTGCACAAGATTTCGGGTACCATAGAATCCAGAAGAGACAGGCAATCGTGGGCTGTTTCGTTTGGGTGCTGGAAACCGAACTTGAGTCCTCTGTTCTTAGCCACTGAGCCCTCGCTCCAGCCCAGGACACACACACACACACATACATACACACACACACACACACACACTCTTTCTTTAAATGTATGTATATGTGGATGCTCATGGAGCCAGAAGAAGGCATGGGATCCCCTGGAACTGGAGTTAGGGATGGTTATGAGCCATAACATAGGTGCTGGGAATGGAACCTGGGTCCTCTGCAAGAGCAACAAGTACTCTTAACTATTGAGCCATCTTTCCAGCCTTAGCTTTCAACTTCTTAAAAGAAATAGCCAAACCATTTTCCAAATGTCTTTTACCCTTTATATTCTTTCCCATGGGCTGTGTGTAATAATCCTGGTTCCTGCACACTTCACCAGACTTGGCATTGAAATGATCCATGCCTGATAGTTATTGGCAACCACACTGATTAAGCCAATTAAAAGTTTATGAGTCGCCGGGCAGTGGTGGCACACGCCTTTAATCCCAGCACTCGGGAGGCAGAGCCAGGCAGATCTCTGCAAGTTCGAGGCCAGCCTGGACTACCAAGTGAGTTCCAGGAAAGGCGCAAAGCTACACAGAGAAACCCTGTCTCGAAAAACCAAAAAAAAAAAAAAAAAACCAAAGTTTTGAGTCCTAGTGTACACCTTTAGTCCCAGTATTCAAGAAGGCAGATGCAGGTGGATCTCTGAGTTCAAGGCCAGCCCAGTCTACAGAGTGAAGTCTAGGACAGCCAGAGCTACATAGTGAGACCCTGTTTCGAAACAAACACACACACACACACACACACACACACACACACACACACACACACACACACATACACACATACACACACACAGAGTTATGAGACCAAGAGCAGACTTGCACCTCTGAAATCTCTTGGTGCCCTGTAGGCAGAGTTTTCCTGTCCTGACCATTCCCAAATAACTGACACAGAGGCTTAATATTATTTATAAATGCTTGGTCAATAGCTCAAGCTTGTTACTAGCTAACTCTTAAATTAACCCATATTTCTTATCTATGTTTTGCCATGTAGCTCATGGCTTGTTACTTCATTTTCTAAACATCCTGTTTCCTCAGCAGCTGGCTTGTGTCTCTTCTGACTCTGCCCTTCTCATCCCAGTGTCCTCAGTTTGATTGTCCCGCCTAACTTTATCCTGCCTTGCTATAGACCAGTCAGCTTCATTATTAACCCATGAGAGTAATACATATTCTAGTGTACAGAAGGATTATTCCACAGCAGTGCCCAAGCTCAGGGTAAGTGTTTTTTTTTTTTTTTTTTTTTTTTTTTTTTTTTTTTGGTTTTTCGAGACAGGGTTTCTCTGTGTAGCTTTGCGCCTTTCCTGGAACTCACTTGGTAGTCCAGGCTGGCCTCGAACTCACAGAGATCCGCCTGGCTCTGCCTCCCGAGTGCTGGGATTAAAGGCGTGCGCCACCACCGCCCGGCAAGGGTAAGTGTTTTTAAAGACAAAATCACAATTAGAACAGTGCTCAAGGTGGGGTTACGTCAGTGAGGGCTTGGGGTGGCCTAATGGCATCTGTTTTCTTGCAGAGCTCAGAAGTATTTTCCAGACCCTACATGACAACTGCATTTTGGTTTACACTTCCTCTTAGTTATTTTAGTTTTATGTTTAAGCTTGCACAAACATCAGTTATTTTGGTTAACACATCTGGACCATGGTCCCAAAATCGTTGCCAAGGCACATGTGACTGTTGGGGTGTGTGTGAAAGGCTGAGAAGTATCAAGGCGAACACAGAATTAAGTTGGAATAAGCAGTTTCTGCAGAAGGTGTATGGTGGTATTTCAATTGTAACTTTAATGTTTACTTCCCTGTAACTGAAGGACACTGACCACGTTTTCAAGTATTTGTTTTCTACCTCTTATACCTTTTTTTTTTTAAGGCTGGGGATCAGTTAGGGACCTTGTAAATGTTAAGCAGGCACTCTATACTGAGCTACAGCCCCAGACTTTAGGTTTTGCTTTCTTCTACAGTTTGAGTTGGCTTGGAACTGGCTATGTAGACCAGATTAACTTAGAATTGGTAGTTTCCCTGGGCCTCCATAGTCTTAGTGCTAGGATTAGCTCAGTGCTAGGTCTAGTAAACTACCACTCAGGCTGGTTCTGTTGGGTTTTGCCCCATGCATTTGGGTATTGGGTAAGGATGCACTCATTGCACTGCTGTCTGATGAGTTCAGCCTGCTGTAACTGGTGGGTTGCTATTGTTTCTCATGCTGCCCTTTCTTGGGATCTGTCCTGCCTGATTCATGTTGCTGTACAGGCTTTCAGGGTCCTTGTATAATGGATCTTCAATTTGCTTTTATCTTTGTTTTCTTTCTTTCAGACAGTTTTTTATATAGCATAGGCTGGTCTCAAAGTTGCTATGTAGCCAGGAATAACTCCAAATATGACCCTGGACTGGAGAGATGGTTCAGTGGAAAGAGCACTGGCTGTTCTTGCAGAGGACCTGGGCTTGTTTCCTAGCACCTGTATGGCGGATCACAGCTGTCTGTAACTCTAGTCCCAGGGGATCTGACACCTTCCTGTCACTGCAGGCTCCAGGCACACGTGTAGTGCACATATTCACATGCAGGCAAAACATCCATTTATATAAATAAACAAAGGTTTTGAAAACCATCTGATCATCCTGCCTCTGCCTTTAGCACACTGGGGTGTATAGGCAGGCCTGCATTACCATGTCCAGTTATACAGTTCCAGGCATTAAACGCAGAACCGCACACATGCTAGGTAAATAGTCTTGCCACACACATCTCTCGGTTCGTGTGTGATTGATTTTTATGTATTCTCTCTGTCCCCCACTTTGTGTGTGTTGTGAATCATACCCAAGACCTCAGCAATGGCACCCGAGGGTGCTGCCCTGTCCTGTGTTCACACTTTCACTTCTGACCTACATTGAATGCTGTTCTTTTGTTTTTAAGATTCATTTTAGTGTTTGTGTATGTGTGCATGTACAGTTGTTCTCAGAGGCCAGAGGAGGGTGTCAGATACCCTGGAGCTGGAGTTAAAGACATCTGATGTGGGTGCTGGGAACTGAACCCGGGACCTCTGGAAGAGCAGAACATGCACTTAACCACTGAGCCATCATTCCGGCCCTAGAATTACAGGCTTAAACTGTGTGTCTTAGTTGGGTCTTTCCTTTAATCCTGTTTGCTGATAAATAGAGTGTAAAACTTAGGTCCTTAAGGGTGGTGGCAAGCACCCTTACTTGCTGAGCTGTCCTGATGGCCCTGACCTTGACCTTCTGATTCTCCTGCCAAGCAATATCAATTTCCCTTGATATCTGGCTGTTGGCAAACGTGGGTTCTTTGATTCAGGTCTTAATCATAGGATGAATGCTTAGGTTCCATACCACACAACCCTGCAGGTGCAGGTAGACGCACCTGTGCGGACATACAGCTATGTGGGGGCTCTGCAGTGGACGTGCAGGGCAATGGAGAGCCTCACTGGGGGCAGAGGTGGAGAGGTGATGGAGAGACCAATGAAGTCACTGGGGTGTTTACAGATGATACCAACAAATCCAGTTGGCAAGCTTTTGGAGACGCCTTGCCAAGCTGTGGGGTGAACCAAGCTGCAGAGACAAGGGGCAGGACTGGTCTACAGGGAGGGAGGGAGGGCACTTCCCTTAGGTCATAGCTACAGCTGGGACTGAGCTGAGCAAAGCCCTTGGGCAGTTGGCAACACACACCAAGTAGTCATGTAACAGGTCATGGTCACCCAGGTGTCCTCTTTGTGGGCCCAGGTGACGATTTCAGGTCCTTCCTTGGTTCGGTAGGTTGGATAAATTTACAGGCCTGGTTTTGCTGATATGGTTTGAGTATGTCCATGTGTGGTTCCCATCTATTTCAGTAAGCTCAGAGTGCAGCCTTTCTGCCTTGAGAAGTGTGTCATCTGTCCTTTCAAGGTGAGGCAGACCCACCCTGCCTCTGAGTTTGCACTCAAAATGGAACCAGGACACGGCTCAGCCGGAATCTGGTTGATACAGTATGGAGTAACTTAGGGCAGGGCTCAAAGGCTAGCCTGTAAGTGTCTTGTCCAACCTGTCTTATCCTCTTCAAGGCTGAAGATGTCATTGTCCTAAACCTAGTCACCTTGAACTCCTGGGTGAGCATTCTTCCAGAGGAGAGTGGATATCGGTAAGGGTGAGGCTGCACCCTGGACTGAAGTGATTATCTGAGAACCACTCAGTCCCCTAAGCAAGGTGGACTTTTTTCCAGACCTCCTTGGGAGCAAGACAGTATCACGGTGCATGTTGCTTAACTAAGTGATAATTAGGCAGGTCGGTCTCTTTAGTCCAGTCTGGTCTACATAGTGAGAGCTCAGGCCAGTGTCTATATAATGAGACCCTGTCTCAAATGAGATAAAATAGTGTATGTGGAAACTAGACAAAGGAAACTTAACACATTGGTAAGAGTAACATATGAAGGGGTTCCGTGACCCCAACCTTGCCTCTCCTTAGGGCCTTCAGTGGCATTGTACCAAGACTTCAGTTCCCTCGACGTGCTTGACACAGTGGCTGGGGATGCTCTGCTGAGAGCTGTGAGACTTTCCTCGCTGTCTAGTGTGCTTGTGATGCCTGCAGTGGCCCCAATGCTGGTTGCTGGTGTGTACGGCTCTGATGCATGACTCTTCCCTCCTGCCCTAGGTACTCGTGGAGTGGAGAGCCTCTCTTTTTGGTCTGTCCCACCTCGGAAGTCTCTGAGATCCCAGCCTGCAGTGGCTGTGGAGGCCAGAGGACGTTTGAGTTTCAGCTTATGCCAGCACTAGTCAGCATGCTCAGCAGTGCTAACCTAGGTGAGAAGCCCTTTACTGAGTTTAGTGTGGAATGATATTGCAATGAAATGCTTTCTTTAATTATTAAATATAGAAAATGTGAGAAATTTGTAATCTAGCAAAATTCTAATACCATTACGAACAATAGCCATTTTGATAATTTGAGACTGAACAAGCTAATTTGTACTTTTTAAAAAAGGTTTATTATTTTATGTGTATGGTGTATTGCCTGCCAATAAGATGAAACTTATTGTCATCTAAGAAAATTGCCTAGAGGCCAGCAAGATGGCTCAGAGGGTAAAGTAGATGTCTCATTGGATAAAGGAGTTTGTTCCAAATACCTGACAACCTGAGTTTGGTCCCTGAATCCCACAGTGGAAGGAGAGAACTTATTCCCAAAAGTTGTCCTCTGACTTTCACATGGAGTATGTGACATGCAAGCACCCCCCCCACACACACACACACACAAAGTAAAAATAAGCGCCATGGAGATAATTGAGCCCGTAAAGACATTTGCTGTGCAAGCCTACTGACTTGTGTTGGATCCCCAAAGCCACATAAGAAGAGAACCGCCTCTACGGAGCTGACCTCTGACCTCCACTCGTGCCCCTCCACCTCCACAAGTACAGGGAACACCCACACAGTAATCAGTTAATTCTGTCAACTGCTTAGAGGGCTGGGGATATGCTGCTTGTCCTCCTTACTTGAGAAGCTGAGGCAGGACGTGCTTGAGGACAGCCTGGACAACACATGACACCGTTTGACAAGGACGATGAGTTAGGCTTGGGTCGGGGCTGGACAGATGGCCCAGTGGTTAAGAGCACCGGCTGTTCTTCCCGAGGACCCACGCTCAGTTCCCAGCACCCACCTTACCATGAATGTACCTTTTAACTGTCTCCTTGGTGGGGTCTAGAGCATGTGGTATTTTTCAGGTCTTGCTGTGGAATTTGGAACAATTCTCGTTTACACATGTGAGCAGAGTTGCTGGCCTCCGAATCAGCAGACTCCCATGGAAGAATTCTGTATTATACAAGAAGACCCAGATGAATTTTTATTTAAGTAGAACACTTCCTCTTATTTATACAAATTAAAACAAATTTTCATATTCAAATCTATGTGTGTTTACCTTATTTTAGCTTCTCTCTTCCCTTGAGACAGGGTGGCCTTGAACTTGTAGCAATCCTCTTGCCTCAGACTTAGCATATAAATTATTAACTAATGTTTTTGTTTGATTTATTGTTGTTTTTCTTTTGTTTTGTCTTGTTTGAGACATGGTCTCTCTGTGTAGCCTAGGTTGGTCTTGAATTCTACAATCCACCTGCCTTAGCCTCCCAAGTCCTAGGATTACAGGTAAGGGCCATCATGCCCAGCTTTAACTGTCATTTATTTATCTGTTTGTTTGTTTGTTTTTCGAGACAGTTTTTTTTTTAATTTTATAATTTAATTTAATTTTACATATCAGCCACGGATTCCCCTGTCCTCCCCCCTCCTGCACGCTGCCACCCCCCATTCCCATCTCCTCCAGGGCAAAGACTCCCCTGGGGATTCAGTTCAACCTGGTAGATTCAGTCCAGGCAGGTCCAGTCCCCTCCTCCCAGGCTGAGTGAAGTATCCCTGCATAAGCCCCAGGTTCCAAACAGCAAGACAGGGTTTTTCCTGTGTAACTCTGGCTGTCCTGAAACTCTTTCTGTAGACCAGACTGGCCTTAAACTAACAGAGATCCTCCTGCCTCTGCCTCCCAAATGCTAGGATTAAAGGTATAGGTCACCACCACCACCTGGCTATTAACATTTTTTGTTGTTTTGGTTTTGTTTTTTGTTTTTGGAAACAGGTTTTTTCTGTGTAACAGCCCTAGCTGCCCTAGAACTCACTCTGTAGGCTAGGCTGGTCTCCAACTCAGAGATCGCCTGCCTCAGCTTCCCTAGTGCTGGGATGGAAGGCGTGCACCACCACCACCACCAGGCTTAACAGTTATTTTTAATATTGCCCTTTTCTTTCTTTTGGAGACTGTGCTGGGCTTGACTGCCCCTCATGACTGCGTGGATCAGGGACTATCTGCATGGTAGCATTTACAGTGTTTCCTCTTGGCCTGGAGGACAGTGACTCTGTCCACAGACACCCTGGTAGGCATTCTGTCTCTAGTGCAGCAATCAGCATCTTCCCATCCCCCTCCAGTGTACCCTACTGCACCCTTTCTCAGCCCTACAGAGAGTCCTGCCCTTAGACCTGGCTGCCTAGACCTGCCCTGTGACCCCTCACTCAGCGTTCTGCTCCTGCAGCATCCCAGGAAGGATCTCCGTGCCATGGCCTACCATCTAACTGTCCGCTTGCCCAGTCTCCCCTTCCTGCATTCCGTTTCTGTGTCACTAGCCCCTTCGTTTCTTCTCCCTGACAGCAGTGTGGGAACACTCCCGCTAATCATGTTCCAGCATGCTCTTGACTCTGCAGTGAGGAGAAGGAGTCCTGATGAGTGGGGTGTGGTCATGTGCACAGTTAACTGGTGAGAGCTCTCTGAAGGAAAGTGGCTGTGTGTCCAAACTGAAGGTTCTGGTCAGAGAGGCCCCCGCAGAGCTTGGCTGAGCACAGCACTGCACAGAGCTGTTCATCTCTCGCTCACTGCCGTGCCAGGAAAGCACCACCGGTTTCTCTGTGGTGTCTGTGCTATAGACAGTGACTGCCTCAGCTGGCTAGACCAGTTACTCCAACTAGAGCAGAAAGTGACGGATTACATCCACAGCTGCGGCCCTTCAGGTGGCTGGCAAGAAGAATTGTTGCTTAACTGGATCTTTTTAAGGCAGGTACTAATGGGGATGATAAAGGGAGTTAGCTGGGTTGGGAGGTTGCTCAGTGGTAGAGTTTGGCAAGGCCCTGGTTTCATCCCTAGCACTACCCACCCCCCCCCAACCCCCCCCCACCCCCGCGCGCAAAAAAAAAGCCATTCCCACCTTCTCAGATTGCTAGGAGTTACATTGCTTATTCTTTTTTAGATAGGGTCTCCAGTTTGCTGTGTAGTTAATGATAATGAACTTCTAATTTTCTTTCTTCCACTTCCAAAGTTACAGGAACATACTGCCATGCTTGGTTTATAGAGTATTGGGGATCAAAACTGGGCCTTGGGCATGCTAGGCAAGCACTCCACCAACTTACCTTCAACCCCAGACCCGTTTTTAGTTTTCTGAGACAGTTCCAGGCTGTCCTCATAGTAACCATTCTCCCTCTGTCTCTCCCTTTCCTACTTTCAGGTGAAGATAGGCTGCTGACCAAACCTACATTCATGTGTGTGTGTGTGTGTGTGTGTGTTTGTAGGTGCACAGAGGTCAGAAGAAGGCACCAATGACCTCTTCTAGGATTCTCTGTCTTATTTGATGCGCAGTCTCTCCCTGAACCTGGAGCTCATGTATTTCTACTAGTCTGGCAACCAGTGAGCCCCAGTGATCTTCCTGTTTCTATCCCCACCAGTGCTAGAATTATAGAGCAACAGGCCTTAATAGACCACACCCACTTGTTATGTGGGTGCTGGGGTCTGAATCAGAGCCTCAGGCTTACACAGCAAGTGCTCTGACACACTGAACCATCTCCCCAGCTCTGCTCAAGCATCCTTGAGTTTGGTTATGTGTACTTGTGGTGGGGGTTACCTATTTAAACCATACAGCTGAACAGAGGCTTTCCTGCAGTCCTGTAAGACATTGTGACATGTGACTGTAGAAGTAACCGTCTTATTAAATAAGAAACACAGAGCCAATGCAAAGATGAAAGCCCAAGAGGTCAGAGCCTTACCGTGTGTTTGTCTTTATGTAGACTTTCTGTTCTGCCCAACCACATGACTGCCTTGTCACTGCCTGTCTGTACAGACCTCCAGGTCTTCTATGGTTGGTACTAAGATTAAAGGCATGTGTCTCCATGCTGGCTGTATCCTTGAACACACAGAGATCTACCTAGCTCTGCCTCCCAAGAGCTGGGATTAAAGGTGTGCGCCATCAACGCCCTGCTCTGCTATGGCTTGCTATTAGCTCTGACCCCCAGGCAACTTTATTTATTAACATACAAATAAAATCACATTTCAGTACAAATAAAATATCACCATATGTGACGAAAACAAGTCTGCTATACACCCATTTAGATGCACCACTGTGTGTGAGGCTGTGGGTTGTAGAACTAGCAATGTCAAAAAAGGAAGTTACACACTTAGTGCTCTGTTAAAGACTCGGGAATAGAGAGGCACAGTGGAACAGGATTATTGCATGGGGAGTGGCTTACAACTCTCACTTCCTGCACTTAACAGTGTAAGTTCCTATTAGAACTCATTATGCAGGGCATATATCCAGCCTCCTGGGAAGGGCATTTGCGAGATTAGCTTCAGGATGGTGTTTTGAGTGCTGGGGGGAGAACTCAGCTTATATGCAGGAGTGCCCTCTGCCCTGGTGAGGCCCTCTTGTCCTTCCTACACTTGATACATCCAGGTAGTAGCATAAGAAATCCTCTAGGCTAGCCTGTGTGTGGTTGGTGAGCCAATCAGCTGCAGAGAAAGTCAACAGTTCAAATGGCAATTTTTTCTGTTTTCTGTCTTTAGAGTTACTGTTGTTTTTTTCTTTTTTTTTTTGATGAGCATGAACTGAGAAACAGAACCACAGACAAATGCATAAAAATACCAACCAGGGTGGACTTAGCTGTTAAGAGCACCCACTATTCTTGCAGAGGACCAGGGTTTAGTTTCACAGCACCCACAATGTAGCTCACAAACTTCAGAACCAGGAGATCTGACCCCTCTTCTGACCTTTACAGGCTCTGCATGTACATGGTGCAAAGGAACTCAAACACACACACACACACACACACACACACACAGAAAAATAGAAATAAGGTGGAGAGTGATTAAGATACCCTGAGTTCTCCTCTAGCCTTCACATAGAGTGCGTGTACATACGTGCAGACACGCAGAGAAAAAGTACATCTAATTAATGCTGCCTTGTAACATGAATCTAAAAGGGTCTTACTAATAAAAAACACAGGAGCCAGATATTGGGGTGAACGCTGAAAGATCAGAGAAACAGAACAAGCCACAGCTTCCTCACCTCGCCGATTCCTCAGTAGATCTGTTTGCTCAAACTGGAAGCCTCTGTGTCCTCATCCAAATGGATCTCAGCTGAAGTGCTGCTCAAAAGCCTAAAAGCTTAACCAGGCTCTAGTTCCTGGTCCTCACGCCTTATATACCTTTCTGCCTCCTGCCATTACTTCCTGGGATTAAAGGCGTGAGTCACCATAGGCTGTTTCCAGTGTGGCTTTGAACTCACAGAGATCTGGATGGATCTCTGCCTTTGGAATGCTAGGATTAAAGGTGTGTGTGCCACCATTTTCTGGCCTCTATATCTAGTGGCTGTTCTGTTCTCTGACCCCAGATAAGTTTATTAGGGTGCACAATATTTTGGGGAACACAATATCACCACATTTCCTCTTTTTTGTCTAAAATTTTAAAAAGCTTATAACTAATACAAGAAAAACTATCCAATAAGTATATACAATATATACAGTCAAGAATTATTTTAACAATCTCTGGTCCATTAACATTTGACAGATTCAGACAAAATACTCCATTATAATATATTAACAATGTCCAGTCCGTTAACATCTGACAAATGCAGATAAAATTTTCATTACTTATCCTATTTAAAACAAGTCGCTCCTTTTTAAAAGTGGACTCAATAATCTCCCTTTTTATCTTATCATGTCCATAGTCTCTCTTTTTTTTGAGTAAATCAACCTTTTATCATTTCTATATCTTCTCTTTTTTCAGAGTAGATTCAATGATCTACTTTTCTATATCTTCTTTTTTCTTTTTTTTAAACAAGAACCTTGTATCTAATCTCCTTTGTTTAGCTTTTTTTTTTTTTACCATTAACAATTAACAACTTGTAACCAACCATCATAAACAATGACAATATCCGTAACTCAAACTACCAAAAACCACATATCCCACCTCTTGGGAATGAGGGTGTCGTATTCTTAAAATTACTTCCTGCTTTCTGGGGGGCGAAGACATCTTTAGGGAATCCTGAAAAGAACATTTTTGTGTTAATTGTCAAGTCCTGAGAGAGTTAGTTGTATCATTTGTCC